ACGGTAATCAAGTTCTAAATTACATTGAAACAATGCACATTGGGAGCAGAGCAAACATCAGAGGAGGGATCCGTTGCCATGGAGGAGTAAGCATCACCTGTCGGCAGGTCACACCCGCCGTGTACGACTTGTGTAGAAATTGTACAGAAAAAGGAGAGATTTCAAGCATATTTTAATCAAAATTGAAAGAAGGATAACTCTTATTGCGTAAAGTCTACAATGACTAGCAACGCCCAACAGTGAATTTATCCATTGATTGAAATGATATGCAAAAGAAGACACCATTCTTTAAAAATGCGATTTAGGAAAATTAAGACAGTTTTATTTCAAAGCTGGTTCCTTTTAGTCTATCATTTAGGTTTCCATTAAAATATATCAACATAATGTTCTAAATCTAGCGTGACATGTCCGTTAAAGACGTGAGCGCATTGACTATTCTTCAAATGACATGGTCCTAACTGTATACTTCTTTTAAAAATACCTGTTATATAAATGTAGATTTTTTATACACGCAAAGCTAGGAAATATCAAAGAATCAAATCTAGGGAAGAGTAGAGTATTAGAGCCAAGAAACATTAAAGAATCAAAATTTTGAAAAAGTAGAGAATGATCGTCGAAACATTAGGGACTCAAAGCAAATGAGAAAATCAAAATTGAAAAAAAAAAAAAAACATATGAGAATGAAAGTTTAGGAACGTTAGAGAATCACAGCTTTAAAAAGATAAGAGAATCACAGCTTTAAAAAGATAAGAGAAAGCTTAAAAACACTAGAAAATCAAGTTGTAGAATCTTTTGAGAGTAAATAAAATTAAAGAATCATTTGAGAACCAAGGATCAAAAAATCAAATAAGAATCAAAGCTAAGAACTATTAAAGAATCAAGGTAGGAAATATTAGAAAATCAAAGCTTATAAACATTATAGAACAAAATTAATATTAAAATTAGCATTAGAAAGTCAACATTTTAAAGCATTTAATGAATCAAAGCTTCAAAACGTGAGAGAATAATCGATATTAATAAAACATAAGAGAATCAAATATTAGAACTTTTTAGAATCAAAATTGAGAACCATTAGATAACTAAATGTTAAGAGAATTAAGGCCTACAATCATTGGATAATAAAAGTAAAGAAATATATATCCACGAAATATAAGAAATAAAGGATTAAATAGTTTAAACTCCAGGGAATTATAGCTTAGAAGCATTAGAGGGAAAAAATGCAGAAATATTGGAGAATCAAGGAATAAAACTAACAAACAAAAAAAGAATTAGAGCTTAAAAACTAAGAAATATTATAGAATCAAAACTTATAAATATAAGCGAATCATAGCTATCAAAACACGAGAGAATCAAATCAATTTGATTAGAATTAAAGCATGAAATATTGTCCACTTAAAGACCAAATCTTCTTTTTACCGTACGGTTACCTGAGGAGAGGGAGTGGTCATATTAGTACAGATGTTATTTACCCGGAGGGCCCTAATACTAAAGATGCCAAAAATTTAAATACACAGTGCATTATACAGGAAGTCTTTCTGGTGATCAGGGTCAACATTACACACGTTTCTTGTCTAACTCTGAGTGAAACAGTCGCTGGTGAAACCAAATAATACTTTTGCATAAATTTGGTAAATCAATAATGTCTTCGATATCTTTTGAAAAAAAAAATATCATGTATAAAGAAATGTCTTTTTTAAAGAAAAATATTTTATTAAAAATTAAAAAAATTCGAATGTAGGCTAAAAAACAATATCAATAATTATGACTTTTTTTAATTGTCAGTAAAAAAAATAATTACAAGGTACGTTGTATGTATAAATATTGAAAAAAAAGTTGCATTTCTCTTAAGCACATTAACCATCTACAAAATGATTAATTTTTTTTGCTCGACACTGGTACCCATAATGTTCATTTACGAACAAGGAATTAGAGGAAATTCGAACCATGATTGTGACATTTCTTCCACTGCGTGGTGAAGAATTACTGAAAATTTTTGTAATCCAAATTTCTTGAATAAAAATAAAATTCCACCCAAATACAGTGCAATTTAAAAATAAACCCCAGTCCATTGTACACCAAGATAACTACATTTATGTGCACATGTACTATTGGTGATTTGTTTTGAAACATCTGCATCCACAGATAAAACTTGTGATAAAGGAATCGTCATAATTTTCAAACTTGATTCATGTCATCGGTGTCTAATTATTTTATTCCATTTAGTGATTTAGTGTTGATTCAATTATTTTAGGGGGGGGGGGGTGCTATATTGTTCCCGAATGACGGCGAATTGAGTTTCTGTGTGCCAAAGTCACAAATGCAGCGGCAGATAAAAGAGGTTGTCGCGTGGTCAGGTATTTGCTATGGAAACATCCAATCTCAGAACATCAGGTAGCACCGGTAGCTGGCCTGTCAATCAGATCAGTAGGTATTGTTTTTTTATGATTGACAGGTGGTTTATAATTGGTCTTGAACTGGGTAGATATTGGGGGCGTTAACATAAAATTGGGTGTTTTAAATTAAGAAACAGAGAAGTTGATAAGACTGGGGTAAACCAAGCTATCAAACAGACTAAGATTAAAGCTTAGAAACATTGAAGATGCGAAGTCAAGAAATATTAGAGGATAAAATCTTTGAAACATTAGGGAATCAAAGTATGAGATATTAGAGAAACAATAAAGAATCATAGCTAAGAGAAATTACAGAATCAATGCTTCGACTTAAGTCTAAGTAGCTTTAGTGAATCAAAATTAAAAATCATTAAGAATTAAGGATTTGATGAAACAAATCTACAAGAATGAGAGCAAAGAAACATGACAGAATCTTTGAATCTTTGAAGCCTCAGAGAAAAAAATTCTTGGAAGAATCTCACAATCAATAAATAGGAATAGAGGAATAGAGGTCTAAGAAGGATAAACGTTTCACAATTTACAAACACGAGAGAATAAAGTTTTAAAACACTAGGGATTTACAGTAGATTATTTAATATATAACGGCAAGCGCAACTCGCGTAAAATTACTCGTTATAATTTTAATGGTACTGAAATACGCGTAAAAAGAACTCCTGATTAAAATCCAAATTGTCGTGAATTGACGTTAATGATTCATTTCGCGATATAAAGTATAAAATATGAAGTCCTTGGGTAAATTTTTGTTGAAGAATCAAATAAAAAGTTATGAAATATTGGAGAATCAGGTAGGTCTTAGAATCATTGGAAGCTCATATTTCGTACAAATATTTCACCAAGGTCTTTTTGGTTAGTTCAAGGTAACATTTACAAAATTTGAATGGGCACTTGAAAAGAAATTGCAGCCGGGGAGGGGGTAGGGGGTAGTTTATTTTCAGTTTTATACCTCTATGGATCCTTTGCAATGTTGTATTATATTCAGGTGACCGTTAAAATTCTTGGGTCTCTTGTTTGTATTGCTATGTTATTTTCCCTTTTTTGTATTGGTTTGTTTATTTATAACTTTATACTTAGTTATGTGAATTTTTCACGCATTGCATTAGTATATGTAACATATCTGACCTTGAACTCATTAAAGCTTTGACGTCCATTGAAATTGTAAAACCTTGTTCGCATGCAAGGTTTTGAAAAAGGATTTTGTTGGATATTCTTTGTATGTAACGAAAGACGTGAAATGATGAGAATCAAAGGACATCATAATGCAACGTGGACAATGACACCAATAAAAATAAAATATGTTATACATTCTCTTTTTCTCTCTTTCTCATTTTGTGTGAGAGAATTTGAAGAGAAATTTTTCATAAATTTGATGCCGACTATTTAATCGGTAATATTATATCAATCAATCTATCTATCTATCTATCTATCTATCTATCTATCTATCTATCTATATATATATATATCTCTCTATATATCTATATATATCTATATATATATAATATATATATATATATATATATATATATATATATATATATATATATATATATATATATATATATATATATATATATATATATATATGTGCAATATCGTCAAAGTCATTTAAGTATATATAAAAAAAACTCGAATGCATTAACATATTAACATATTTATCTAGGTTTCACTACTTATAAACATAACCTTGGCCCTATTATAACGTCTAAAATAAAATAAGTCAATGTTCTACTTATTTTATGTGGATGTCAGTGATTTTAAATCTAAAGAATTTGTATATTATTCCATAATGCCCTTTCTGTTATGCAAATAAGGACGGCATGAGAAGATAGACATATCTTATTCAGGTTTGAAGAGTTTAATGTTAATCTATTCAACTGTACCATTGCCATTGAGCGCCACAGGTCAATGTGCATTATGTCAGTGTGGATGTGAATTGCTTAATTTCAACTGAAACACGTCTGATATTTAAATTTCTTAGAGCTTCTTGTATTGGCAATTTAAAAGATAAGAAAACAGTAAATAGGTTTCAAATTTTGAATTATAATTTTAAAAACTATTCATTATATCTTCAATAAAAAAAAACAAAAAACAACAACATTATTTTAATGTGTGGAATGTTTCTGACAAGAACGAGTTCTTTCTTTTAACTACTTATTGATTTCTTTATTTTATGTGGATCATCATTTTAACATTATAAGAATAACATCGTGCGTTGTCTTTATCTTTTTCGTTCGATCAATAAAAACTCATTTGAAGTTGTCGCTCTTTTGACAAACAAGAATCTTTCATCTCTCTTTTGTTTATTTAGTATTAGATGTTAAAGGAACAGTTTTCTAACTTTTTAATTTTTGTTAATTTTTTTTTTTTTTTCAATAATTGATTTTGATCTTCTTCCAACCTTCAAAAAAAATTACAAGGTTAGTTAAAAGAAAATTAAGGATATTGTTAAGCTTAGTGTTGCAGATTTGACTAGCGTTATAAAGTCATACTATTTTTTTCTAAATGGCATGGTTTCCTCTAGGTTTAATATCTACCATCGAATGAAATTTTTATCATTTACTAAAAAGAAAAAAAAAATAATGGAATACCTACCACACAATCCGTCATTACAGAAGGAGGTTTGGTGTTCGCAATGTGTGCAGACAGGGCCTTTGTTGTAAAGTTTATGACTTTCCTGACTATATTATCAATAAATAAGATATCAAATTAATAGAAAATAATACACATCATTATTAATCATCATTTTTATTTCTATTTGTATGTTCTTTTAATATTCTTAGTTATTATATTTGCAAATAATATTAGTCTTATCCTTAAATGAAATATGGAGATAACGAACAGTATTCAAGCTCAAAGTCCATTAAAACAATACAAATCGAATACAAAATCGAAAGAAATTGCACAAAAATATCATACCTTCCTTCATAAACACATAAGAGCACATCATAAGATATTTTATGACTCCTGCAATTTCTTCGAAAAGCACATCCCATAAACCGCAACTGTGCCCCTATTATCTGAAAATAAATAGAACCATCAACATATTCATCCTGATAAAGTATATTTACGTGACATTTTGTTCAAGATTTCGATAGGGGATGACGTGAATAAAAATTTAGAGTACAATAGTTCCATTACTGTATTACTTTTGTAATTTCAAAGATAGATTTATTATATAGTAAGCTTAACATTTGATGATCCATTCTTCAAATCAGTGTTTTCTGAATGAATTACCGTCAGAAAATTTTGGCATTCTTCAATATTCAGACATGTTTCAAATTCCGGAATAAAATACTGTCCCTCTGTCAACCAATCCCCAATGACTTTTGTTAGGTTGCCATTTTTTGTTATGCCTGTATTGATTTGCCTCCCAATATAATTATTTGAATTTTCCTCAGAATGTGGCATACATGATATTCTTTGTTCGGCTTCTGCAGCTAATAGATTATTCCAAACCTATGGAAAAAGGAGTTGCAAATAAATGATTTCACTAGCGAATTTATAAGTTTAATTAAAACAGTTTTAATTCCTATAAAATATTGCTATAAATCTCAAGACCGTTTTTGTGTATCAGATTTCATATAAAAAATTTTTAAAAATCCTGGAGGCGAACTTGTTAATTGCTGGTCAACAACAGTCCTTAAATTATGCAAAAACTCAAGATACTAGGTATACTGACTGTAGCAATACAATAACTAATATAGACTAAAATAATATTGCAAATAAATGATTTCACTAGCGAATTTATAAGTTTAATTAAAACAGTTTTAATTCCTATAAAATATTGCTATAAATCTCAAGACCGTTTTTGTGTATCAGATTTCATATAAAAAATTTTTAAAAATCCTGGAGGCGAACTTGTTAATTGCTGGTCAACAACAGTCCTTAAATTATGCAAAAACTCAAGATACTAGGTATACTGACTGTAGCAATACAATAACTAATATAGACTAAAATAATATTTTTAAGAAAGTATCGGTCTATCATGCCTATAAATATTTTGAATCTCTGATTCAAAAATAATTATATCAAAGGCCTCTTAATTGACATTTCTCACAATTATTTACCTGTAAATTCACATGTGCTATTTGATTTGTCCTTATATTAGCTATTTGCCTTCTCCCTCAATTACTAACTATAACCATTTTTGCTTCCTGGGTTTTCCTCGAAATTACTTACTAGTAAATTCATGTTTGCTATCTGGCTTGGTAAACCTTGTTTTGCGTAACTCCTTCTGAAGGAATTGTGTATCCGTAATATCTTTTCAATTTCATCTTGATGAATACATATGATATTTTGTATTAAAACAGCTGAAAGCACTGAAACAATAAAGAATAAAATTATATATAAAATTATTTATATCAAATATACATTATATCTTAATTCTTTTACAGTATTTGATAAAGTTATTTTACCAAGTGCTTTTATTCCGTTAAGTCATGAATTTCCATAATACGTGCTATCGACGAAATTCAAGCTTCCTTGACTAACTTGATACGTTATCAAATACCGTGTCCTAATTACAGCAAACACCAGAGAATTGTATTACTAAAATGTCTGTTAATTAAGTCAAGTTAAACAAATAAAAATAGGTTTCTCTGTTTATTTCACGTGGTTATCTTTTGATAAGATCTGCACTTAGTGACAAGTATATTAGATTAAAGAACACGCTCATTCAGTAAAATAGTTCTTTATTGTTTGTCATTGGAATAAAAATCAAAACCAATACCGGTGGGAAAATTGTCATTGAAACCGTTCTTTATCTCTAATTAATCGTTCAATTTCTGTTCCGCATGTCACTTACTTTACAAAGAATTACCCTAGAGTTCCTTTCATTTGATACTGAATAACCTTAAAACAAAATTTATCGTAATTAAAACGTAGGATATCACATTTTGTGCTAGGGTTTGCTGTGACCTCTCCCTCTCCTTTTTTTATTGTCGCCCCGAACGAAGTGGGCGTCATATTATTCTACCAAGCCTCTTTCTTTACTCCTCACTAAAATATTAACAGCAGCGAAAGAGAAACTTTAGGAGTACTGTGCAACAATATATTCGAGAAGTGTTGTAAATAATATGTGGATACTTAAAAATTCTAAGGAACTTTTGAAAAATTTGAAGACACAAAATTTTACCAAAATCAATAACATAAAAACTTACGACTTTTCAACTCTATATACAACCATCCCCCATGATAAATTGAAATCAGGCTTTTTGACATCATTGACAGCTGCTTTTTCAATAAAAATGGAACTCGTAAATTTATTTACCTTGTCATTGATCATTTGCAGAATTCTTTTCTTAAATAAACATTCTGATTGTACACCAAGTACTCTGAAGTTGATATAAAAAATACTCTTGAGTTTCTGATTGACAATATCTATGTGGTTTTTGGAGACTAGGTCTTCCAACAATCTGTTAGAATACCCATGGGTACCTATCGCGCAGCTTTATTAGCAGACCTATTTTGTATTCATATAAAGCAGAATTTATTCCTATACATAAGAAGAAGAAAACGCTTGCTATGGCCTTCAACTCGACATTTAGATATATAGATGTATTATCAATTAACAATAGTTATTCCCATTCATATGTCGAGACAAATATCACAGTGACCTAGTAACAAAAGATACCACAGAATCTGACACATCTGTTCCATATTGAATATTTTACTTAAAAAAAGATGTTAATTGTAGTCTAACAACAAAGCTTTATAATAAACGTGATGACTTTAACTTTTCAATAGTCCCTTACTTATGCAGGAATATACCCTCATCACCTGCATAAGGGGTTTATACCTCTCAATTGGTTCAATACGTAAGAGCATGCTCTTCGTATGGACAATTTCTAAAACGAGGCAAGCTATTGATGAAAAAGTTCATGAAACAAGAATATCAACAGTCTCGTTTAAAGCCTTTTGTAAGGCTTTTTTGTCGATGCAATGACCGTGTCAGCAAATACAATCTATCATTAAGTCAAATGCTGACTGACGTTTTTCAAACTAATTGTTAGACCATTTTTACACACTGAATTGTGGACGGATTTCCCCCCATATTTCTCGATCATGACAAGGAGCACACGGTTGGTGTGACCGGTCGGCAGGGCATGCTCACTCCTCCATGGCTCCTGATCCCATCTCTAATGTTTTGAGCTTGAATACTGTTAGTTATCTCAATATATTTTATAGCTTAAGCTGAAATGTTGTCCACAAACTCTCTCGCAAATGACTGGGAAATTCTTAATGAAACTTCATAAAAATTTCCAACTCAAGATGTGCCATTTACATATTAATTTTTCAAAATAGCCATATTTTCCATGAAAACAAATAAAATATGTATTTCTTATAATTTCATTTTTTTAATAACCGATCAGCCAAATTCTTTGAATCTTTAAAGGATTGTTCATTACATTCTATCAACGTGTTTTCTACCAACAAAATTGGAATCGGTTGCATAAAGTATGTCGCTATGTCATGAACAGAACGCGTGAATCAACTAGTGGCTCTTTCTTTTGGGAGATAGAAAAGTCAATATAACGTGACAGTGTTCAGGTACGTCGTCTTTCGAAATATTTTGCTTATATTGTGCACACTTGCTTTCTCTCCATTCAACTCCTATATGTGCAGCCTTTGGTTCAGTTTGGGGAGCCATATGCTAAGCGTACAATAACACACTATCAAAAATTCCTTCTTTTTCTTTTTTACATTTGATCAACGATTTATCCAATTTCGAATATTCATTTCTGGATTGGAAACACATGAAAAGAAGAAAAAATAAAATCTTAAATGTATCTCGTAATGAGGTTTTCAAAAAAAAAAAAAAAAAAAAAAAAAAAAGAAGATTTTCATTACATAATAAACTTCCCATACCTGCAGCTTCATTATGACATGAAATACATATAATACCCATGATATGTATATTAACAATCGATATTAATGATATACCTAACTGAATTTAATTAACGTATGCCACCATACAAAGTTAATCAATCAGAGAACAGAAAAAAGAAGGAAAACCAAGGATCCTTCCTCTATAATTAGCATGCTTTGGTATGATACAAGGGTACAGGTATTCATTTTCTGTTTTCTAAAGTTTGGGAAAAAGTTGAAATTGACAGTAAACAGAGCTCATATATATTTAAATATTGGAACATGATAATATTACTTTAAATTATATTCGTTCTCCTATATTTAAATCAGTGCTACTTTGGACAATTTTTGGTGCCGTAATTCAATTTGAATTTGTTTCATATACATATAAAACACTCCCATATTAATAAATTTAAAAAGACCTTAATAAAATATATATTTACATAGTAGCAGAGGAAAACGCTTGTGGTAAAATTTCAAATTCAACGTATAATATGACTGATTTATAAATACTCAATAGTTTGTATTCACTCGTGTCTTCTTGTATGGTTGTATGAAAAAGTAATTTTTCAGAATGGAAAATATGCTTATCGTCTTAAAGTATAAAACAAGTAATAAAACTGATCGCTGTCCAATGAATACAGAAAGATAGAAATGGTATTGCTTAATTTACCGTTCATACGTACAAATTAATAAAGTATTTATATATATTAAGTGTTATTTTATGACTTGCAAGATTAAGATATTTCTTATGGTAAAATTTAAGTCGGGCACTTTCAATTTCCTCTCAGTACATATGCATAACAGTCCGTGTTACCAAAAAGACATATTTCATTAAAGATTTTTTTCATTAATAAAGACTCACCCATTAGCAACATTTTCTATAATCCTGTATCACGATCTGTTGTTGTTCTACTACTATTGAAAATTATACTGTGACAGCTTTTATAATGCGACAAAATAGAAACACAACCTTTACTTTGGTCTGTCTACAATACAAGGAAAACGTTTATGTGTATCACTTAGTACACCCACTAAAATATGTTGTGAGGTTGAAGAAATAAAAGCTTTAATTAATGTTTTTGTATGAACTTAAATGCTTCTCCTTAATCAGATAAAAGATTACATACTTAATAAAGATGCTTTGTTTGAAAGGAATACAAATATATTATCGCATTTTAAAATTTTTATGTTAGCAATGTATATGAAGTTTTTACATTTTTAATATGTGTAAAAGATGCATAAATGTGGATTCTTTAGAACTAAAAATAAAGACAGAAATTATAATTTCTAAATGCATTTGTGGTATTTTCGCCGTTAATAGATATGTAGTGTCAATCGCCTTGAATACAAGAGCAAACATATCCGTTGTTTAAATTTTAAATTGATCATCTTGTAAAAATAGAAATATAGTTATTTTCAATCATTTCATTTCATAATGTTATTTCATACCAATTGCAAGGCCATGATATTTTATACTAAAATTGTTAACGGATTATTCCGGCAACCAGTTCAATTCCCTAACAAAAAATACTATAGTAAACTATAGTTAACTATAGTTTACTATAGTTAACTATAGTACCAAGGTAAAAACTTTGGAACTTTGATTTACTATAGTGAAAACTTTGGAACTTTGATTTACTATAGTAAAAACTTTGGAACTTTGATTTACTATAGTGGAAACTTTGGAACTTTGATTTACTATAGTAAAAACTTTGGAACTTTGATTTAATATAGTAAAAACTTTGGAACTTTGATTTACTATGGTGAAAACTTTGGAACTTTGATTTACTATAGTAAAAAATTTGAAACTTTGATTTACTATAGTGAAAACTTTGGAACTTTGATTTACTATAGTTAACTATAGTAAACTATAGTTAACTATAGTTTACTATAGAATTTTTTTGTTAGGGTTAATACATAGGGCTAACGGTGGTTGTGAGCGGTCGAAAGGGAATGCTTACATAAATCAAGAGAAGCATGTACATAAAAAAGGAATAATAAAACTTGTATCCCACTTGATATAATCAGAAGCAATAAAATCATAAGATTATCCTTAAAAACACTGCTTGAGATGAACGGTTTTAAAATACAAGCAGGCACAAATATTAACAGATAATTCAAGTAATTTTCTGATTTGCTGTTGTAGTAGGTCTTGTAAGATCAACTTATTCCACAGTAGCCTGTGTTGGTTTAAAACACGATTCTACTCAGAACATGTTCCTCCTCTGTATTAATACAGTGAGTAATAATAAACAGCATAAGTATGTCATCATGAAATTCTACTAAATAAATAGTGGACGTTTTCTAGGGAAAGCAGAGGTTTCCAGTGGTCCGTGCTTTCGCCATATGCACGATTCCTATTTTTTACTAGATTTGTGACTGTTGATTGTTTTGTTTACTGGATTCATGAGATTGAATACTGTTTCCTATTTTCACCTTTTACATGAAAAATATGTCCTCAGTCGCAAAAATAAGTCGTGTGGATGGATTTAAACCATCAATACGCGAATAAATTTGTAGAGCATATTAGTTGGCTATCATCTTTTTTATTCTTACTTTTTTCATATTTTAATTTTTTTTTTTAGAAATGTCTATAGTCAGAAGAGCTTGAAATGCCCCCCCCCCCCCCCCCCAAAAAAAAGTAGGAACTATTTTGCAGACTTTCCGGTGTCTTTTGTTACAAGTTCACAAGGGTATGTCGAAACGACGTATAAGGGGAAGAATTGTAAATTAATAAAACGTATCGTTGTTATGTTTAAATGTTTATATAAAGGCCAGTGAGAGTGTTTTCTTCTCAGTATAAGTCATTTCAATAACTTCTGCTTCGTCAGAATATGAAGGACAGGTCGGCTAATAAAAGGGCTCTTGTTTATAAAGACCCCATAGATATTGCCGATGTAGTACACATGATTTCCTAGCTACGGACTGTGACTCCTAATTAATCTCGGGAGATTCTTCATATTTCAAATACTTCTAGCCAGTGCTCACTTTTAAGGATATTTATTAAACTATTCTATATACAGGTATAATTTAAATATTTGAGATAGTATTGTTTTCTTTAAAAAGGTTTAAATGAATCCAAGAAAAAAGTTTGAGTCAAAGAACAGTCAAGGAAAAATTGTACTACAAATAAGTTGCCCATCACAAAAAATGATAATTTTCCTATTTTAAAGCATTTTTCAACACAAATGGAAAAGAGAATTTGAAATTTGCGTATTCGTTTCTAAACTTAAAACTTTCATAATTCATTTCTTTTAAGGGAAGAATTGAGTTTGAGAAATACAATGTATATTTATCATTTAAAGCTTTTTACGTCATTAGCTTTCAATGCACTTTGCAAAGATAATTTCTCTTGAAATTAACACATTTAATAGACATTTAAATTGCGTTAAAATTGGTTGTTTTAAAAATGATATAACCTACAGCAATTTATGCACTTTCTTTCTATTTTAAAGGTTTATATTTTTATCTAAATCACGTTTTCAGGAAAAGAAACAGGTTTGTGTAATACGATACTCACCAAAGGAAACAAGGAACGTGGAAAGAGGACGAATTAAGGTAGGTTATGTAGTGCAGATATTAAAGAGTATATATCCTATTTGACTAGTTATACGATTTCTTATCATTAGAAGTAAAGTTTGATTCTTCTTATATTTATTGCAATTGAAAATTAATGAAATTTATATACATACTTTAAAACTGAGAAATATCTTAAAATAATATTCGAAATCTTGTTTTAGTTGGAAGGTCAGGTCGAGGCCATCATCCTTTTTATCGACATTTATGATGAAAAATAACTCAAGATATATGTTTGTTTATTTGTTTGTTCATTGCTTTTTCCTTTTTTGTTGAAGAAAAATATTATAAACATTTACTATCAAATAATGCTTCTTTACGTAGGTAAATAATTTGCCTATGTTAGATGTAGGCTATCCTGGATTTCCTATAATTTTGTTTTAATTTAAAGGTATATAATTATTTTTATATATTTTTTTGCACTTTCATAATTTCAGACACACATACACACGTATCATAATATATATATATATAACTGAATACAGTTGCTCTGTGTTTTATTTTTTTTAGAGATACAAAATAAAGTGCAAAGAAAGAAATTTCGATTGTTAGATTAGAGAAAGAAATGTTCACTGCATTTTCACTCAAATCTCTTTCGGACGAAAAGCCTAAAAAAAAAAGCTAACAAATAACATTTTTTGTAAAGGTTAAAAATGTGATATGAAAAATAAAATTATTATTCATAAATTAATAGTGATATTTTTATACACGTTGTTCAGCAAAACAAACATAGTCTTTCGTAGATTTTTTAACTAAGTTAAGAAAGAGAAATTAAACCGTTAATTTCTTATTATCTCACTATAAAGGAATTCATACAACTGTTTATTGATTTTTTTCTTTCTTGAAATAAAAAAAAAAAAATGTTGCATTGCTTTCATCTTGACTTACATGTGTATTATCTCTTCTTATTTTTTTTTAAGTAAAGATTTTCATTTCTATTATCTAAATTTTTGCAATTGCTTCTGTAATGCAGGATCATGCAGTTTGCGTATGATTACATAATTTTGTAAAATCTTAATAAATATTGTGAATGATCCTGTTACCATAAAAAATAAAATAATGAATTAAACAGATACATGTATAATAGTGCATTCTTAAATGGAAAAAAATAAAAATAAAATACGATGGATTCATTTTTTTTTCTCTGTTGTTGATTCTTTATTGTAAACAACATATATAAACATACATGTACTTGTTGTATTTTGAAAATAACATAGTTTATTGAAAATTGAAAGTGCAGTTAATGAATAATAAAACTTCACAGATATTCTGCTATTGGAAGCTTGATTTTATTTCATTTCGTGTTTACCTGTTCCTTGATCATAATCACGACAACATTTTTTTTTGTAATTACATAAGCTTAGAAAATACCACTTTAGATAAGCATGTAATTGAAAATAAAATATAAATATTCTTACCTACAATCCGTTTCATAACGAAATAAAAATCCCCAGTCCTTGACTGTGCTACAACAGACAGCCTTTATTTCTTCTTTCAGAAAATGAATGTTAATAAAGACAAGCTAAAAGACACGGGGGTGTATAATGTCAACTGATACGTAATTCGTCATTGTGTTTTTCCCTAGAAACTAGCCAGTCTTCAGCCTCAAATACTATTATTTATTTGCAAAATAACGAAGGAAGTTTTATATTTAAAAAAATGCATTAAAAAATAAAGGCATACTAAATAAATTAGATATTTTTAAGAGACCAAGAATTTTCATATTGCTATTTCTACCTTTCCCTAAATTTTTCTTGGTATCCCTTCTTAAAAAAATATCTATACCCAAATTCTGCTTCACTTCCAATATATTCTGCGTCAAGCTAGATATCGTCTAGCTCCAAACATGTGTGTGTGTGTGTGTGTGTGTGTGTGATAAAAATTCTTTTAGGTTATACTTATAGATAAATCTACACAATCCCTTTTTAAGGTCAAATTGTTACATAATTATTAGGCTTACTTTTTTCATTAAGATGGTCACATTATTGAATACATTGGAATAATAACATGTGCATACTAGGAAATTTCCACCAACATTTTCTCCAAATGTATTCAAAAATAATCTAATCTAATATTATTATACCTGAAAGATTTTTTTTATATGAATAGTTGCCTTTTGCTTTTAAAAAAAACTGTATATTGATATATAAAGAATAAATGATGCAAGAATAAACGCAAAACGGGGTGCTAATTATTGAGCATTTCGCTCAAAAAATGTTTTAATTCATAGTCTATGCAGAAATAAGACGAGGGATTTTACGTTTGCTAATTGAACACATAAAACAAACATGATTGTCTTCCGCTACATACAAGGAAATTCGCGATATATTACACAGCTCCTCATTGCCCTAACACATAGCATCCCACTAACAGTATGCTACACAATGTGGAAACAAGTTGTGAATTTCCTTCTTTCTTTTTTTTTTTTAAATTTCCATGACATGTATTTACTTAAAAGACATATACTAAAAATATCATTTAGAATACTTTAACTTGTTGCGTTTCATCAAATACATACAATCGTAACTGATGTCAAACTGTGCACACATAAAATTGTACTGATACTGTAAAAGGAATTCCATAGTGTTAACATTGCATTTTTATGGATATATTGATACAAGTGCAAATTACTTTGTAAGCCACTGACAGATTTACTGATGTTAAAAGGGTATCAACAACCTCGTTTAAAGTCATTACTTTGCAAATGCTATGGTCTTTATAATAATGTTGTAAGCAAATATAACCTATATTTGGGTGGTATTTTGATTGCTATATTTCATACCAATAATTACACTTTTGTTTTATACTAATGAAATTGCAAACTATAGAAGCAAAGGAGAAATTTTTGTTTTTGGAGATTTTAATGCTCGTACGGGGGGGGGGGGGGGCTGCAAGATTTTATACAACATGAAACACTGAATGATACATTTTTGGATTGCACTCTACCAGAATACATATATGAACCTGACATTTCAGTGAACAGAAACCAACTTGATAAGACATCAAATTTACATGGACACCTAATTACAGATATTTGCAAAACATATAGATTATCCATCCTGAATGGATGATTTCTTGGTGACTCACTTGGCTATTTTACATTTTTTAATTCTAATGGTTCAAGCACTGTTGACTATATGTTGGCATCAAGTCAGTTGTATCATAAAATTGAACATTTTAATGTATTACCTCCTACAGAAATATCAGATCATTGCCTTATAACTGCAAGTATTAATATGAACACAAATGTGTTTTGCAATGAAAAATATAAAATGCACTCTTTGAAGGGGAAATATCTCTGGTCAAGCACTTGTAAAAACCAATATGCAGAAGCTATTAATGAGGAAGAAACTAAAAATCAAATACTAATGTTGGATAATTTACTTGACCAAATATATGATGATAACACATATGATTCAAATGATCTTGTCTATAAACTATCAAGTATTATAATTAATGCAGCTAATAAAAGTGTTCCATTTAAACCTGCAAAATTTACAAAATCATAACGAAAAAATAAACAAAGACCAAAATGGATGACTACGGATTGCTTACTCCTACGAAAAGAAGTTAGAAATTTAGGGAAGAAAGTACACAAATATCCAAACAACTGTGAACTAAAACATGCCTTTGCAAAATGTAGAAAAGATTATAATAAACTAAGAAAAAGTCTTAAATCTAATTTTTACAATAGTATTGCAGAAGACATTAACGCGCTTTCGCCACAAAACTCCAATAAATTTTGGAATAAGACAAAAGAAAATAAATCAAAGAAAACTAATGCAGAAACAATTGGAATTTCAGAATTCGTTGACCACTACAAATCCTTACTGAACATTCAATATACTGATGAAGAGAGCTTGAAATACAAGTACACTGAACTAAATACTGAACCAAATCCATTAGACTTTTTGTTTACTCAAGATGAAATAGAACAAAGCATTTTAAAGCTGAAAAATGGTAAAAGTGCTGGGCCTGACCTAATTTTAAATGAGTTTATTAAAACAAACAATACTACCCTTTTACCTGTCCTTACAAAACTGTTTAATATTCTACTTAAAAATGGAAAAATGCCCAAAGAATGGAACCTTTCACTTATAACATCATTATACAAAAATGGTGATCCTAATAATACAAATAATTATAGGGGTCTCAGTGTTACAAGTTGTTTAGGAAAACTTTTTACAGGCCTTCTACAGAAACGCTTAGATAATTATCTTGAGTCAGATAACCTACTAGGCCAATATCAATCTGGATTTAGAAAAGGTCATAGGACCACTAACAATATATTTGTACTAAAAACACTTGAAACAAATATCTTTATACAAAGAAACAGAATTTATATGTGTGCTTTGTAGATTTTTCAAAAGCATTTGATACTGTGTGGAGATCTGCACTTTTATACAAATTGAATAAAAAGGGTATTGGTGGTAACTTTCTCAAACTTTTGACAGACATGTATACAAATACTATTCCTGTAAAAAGGACAATCAAATGAGTGAAAAATTTAAAGGCAATAGAGGAGTCAAACAAGGTGATAATTTAAGTCCAACACTTTTCAATATCTTTGTTGATGATTTTGTGAATTATCTTAAAAATGTAAGCACATATCCTGCATATCTAGATACTATGCCAATAAATCATATTTTTTTTTGCTGATGATCTTGTCCTTGTATCAGAATCAGAAGTTGGTCTACAAAACTGTATAGATGTTTTAGGAAAATACTGTTCAGACTGGAAATTGTGTGTTAATATGGATAAAACAGATGTTATGATTTTTTCAAGAAAAACAGATGATGAAACATCATTTAGATTTTATTACAATCACCAAATGATTAACATAACGAATGAATATAAATATTTGGGTGTTGTGTTCAGATCTGATGGAAAAATGAAATTTGCAGCTGAACAACTATCAGAACGTGCTAGGAAAGCATATTATGCTATTAAATCAAATTTTCCTGCAAACATTAATTTTTCAGCTGAAATTATGTTAAAATTATACCAGTCAATCATAATACCAATTATAACATATGGATCTGAAGTATGGATAACTGACTTCAAATGTGATTTAATGTCTTCAGACCAATTTCCTTTTGAAAAAACACAACATTTAATATTTAAAGACATACTAGGGGTACATAGAAAGGCATCAAATCTTGCTGTTTTATGTGAATTGGGTCGTTTTCCTTTGTACTATTTATGTTATGAATATATGTTTAAATATTTTAAGAGACTTAAGGAAATGGAAAACAAACATGATTATAATAATTATTTAGTGATTTCTGCATTTAAAGAAGACAAAAAACTTGTATCTAGAATATCTTGGCAAAGAAAACTGTCTTCATTACTACACAAATTAAATATCACTTCTTTGGATATTTCTCACACAACCTTGAAAAACAAATTACAAGAGCATTACCAAAACAAGATACATGAACAACTGAAAAATATAAGCAAATCAAATTCTGGAAAGTTAGCTTTTTATAGTAAAATTGTAATTCAAAATGAATACAAATTGCAAAGTTATTTAAAGCTGCCTATAAAGAAAAGTTTAAGAACTGTATTTAACAAAATTAAGGATTAGTGCCCATCCATTGTATATTGAAACGGGCAGATACTGTAAACCCCCTATTCCTAGAGAAAAACGTTTATGCTATTCATGTAAATTATTTATTGAAGATGAAAAACATTTTGTTCTATACCGTTCAAAGTATGACCAATATAGATGCAATTATACTGATATATTTTATGTAAACACATATACTAGTGATAATCCCATTAGAAAAATTGTCAATCCTACAAATATTACAACTGCTAGAAGGATATGTTGTTTTTTGAAAAAGTGCTTTGACACCAGAAAAGAAAGTCAGCAATGAATACTTAGAAATATGTGAATATACTCTACATTATTTTGTTCAACTCACATTTGTCACTTTGTATATGTATGTATTATTCTTGTTAATTTGTTTTATGTCATGACTGTATGCCGACAAGGTAATTGTCAATAAAGTGAATTGAATTGAATTACTAAATTTGACTACGGAATACTCCATATACTGGACTTAAGGTAGGTGTGACCGGTCGAAAGGAGATGCTTACTCCTATCATCATAAGCACCTGATCCAACCTCTAAAATTTCCGGGGGGGGGAGGGGGGGGGGTCCGTGGTTTGCTTTCCTGCCTTCTTCACAGATTTGTACTGATTGTAGGTTTTATAAGAGCGATAACTATTCGTTATGTTCGCCTTTTTCATCTTCACTAAGGACCACATTCTTGGGTCATTCTACGATAAATTAATCACAGGTTGATTCAGATAGGACAGAAAACTTAATTGTTGTATATGTCCCGTCTTTTTGATATATCAATAAAAATAATGTTATTTATATTAATAATATTTTTAATATATGTGGTTTAGTGGTTATTACGGTAATACTCGCAATTCTTCCATTTAGTTGTCAGC